GTCGAACAATTATAACATGAATTCTTAAATTTATTGTGTTGATGCTAGGGTGTTCCCTAGAAATGACGCTTTGTATGGCCTGAATATAGCGAAATGTGTACAAGGGCCGCTGCACCGACGTTGAATCAGTATTAAATAAAAAAGGGTTCCCACATCATGGGCGGATTTGGATAAATAAGCTAGTCCAAGAAACTAGAAGTAGGATAAGTTCTCTTACATGCAAATTAGAATTAATAGATATTATAATTTATAGAAAGATAAATATTCTAGGTATTCAGAAAACTAAATGGATTAAAGAAAAGGCTAAGAAAATTAATAGTTTATGATTTAAACTATGGTATTCAAATAGGAGTCGTACTAGAAATGGTGGTGTGATTATAAATAATAGTTTGAAGGAAAATATTGAAAAAATTAATAAAATTATAGATATAATTATAGTTTTAAAGGTCATTATTGATGCTAAGATTATTAATATTATAAGTGCTTATATTTCTCACGTAGGTTTGGATATGTATTTAAAATTAAAATCTTGAAATGACTTGAAGAAATCATACAAATGATACCTCTTAAAGAATGAGTTTTTATTGGAGTAGATTTAAATGCACATGTTAGTTGAGTGATAGAAGATCTTAAAAGCATTCATGGTGTATATAAGTACGAAGTGACTAATGCAGGTGATATGATCATATTAGATTTTGCTCTAACATATAATTTGTAATTGCTAATATCTTATTTAAGAAAAAAAAAGTAGCATCTTACTACTTATAAGAATGGACATAGTAAAACTCAAATTGACTAGTTTTTATAAGGAAAATATATCTTTTAATCTGCAAAGATTGTAAAGTCATTCCAAATGAATATTTATGTACTAAACATCACTTATTAATTTTGAACTTTAAGATGAGAGGTGGAATATAAAAATAAATTAAACTGTTGCATTATAATTAGAATGAGGCATTTAAAGAATACAAAAAATATATTTTTGAGAGTAAGATTCAAAATCTTAAGATTTGGATTATTCATGAGGAAGCGAAATTTATGTGGAAAAAGTAATCATTTTGATATTAAGAATTTTGGAACGTATATGTTTGGAGAATTAAATGGAAAAGCTTCTAATAGTAAAAATAATTGTGGTGGAATCAAAATATGCAACAAAAGATAAAAAATAAAAAAATTTATTATAAAAATTGGTTTAGAAATAAAAGCACAAAAAAATGGAAAAGATATATAAGGGCTCGTAGGGAGTCTAAGAAAACAATATGCAATGTATTAGATTAGATACTAAGGAGGGAAAAAATATATATGTATAATTTAGCCAAGCAAAAACATAGGAGAAATAAGTATCTAGCTCAAGTGAAATATATTAAAGAGCAAGATAAAAAAGTACTTTTCTTAGAAAAGAATATTCAACATTGATGGTTGAGATATTTCAATAAACTTTTCAGTGTAAATTGTGAGAATACAATTGACTTTAGAGACCTTAGCACCATATATTAAAGTAGAGATTTTTATTTTAATCATCTTATTAGTAAATTTTAATTTGAAGAGGCTTTAAAGAAATAAAATGTGAAAAAATAATAGGACATGATGGTATTTCCAATAAAGGTGTAAAAACACTTGGGAGATTAAGAAATTTATTAGCTTATTAAATTTTTTAATATTATTTTGAAGACTAAAAATATGTCAAATGAGTGAAGGAATGTGTTGGTTCGTATTTTTAAGGATAAAGGTTATACATAAAAGTGTGTGAATTATAGAGAATTAAGTTACTATGCCATACATTAAAATTATGAGAGAGTAATTTTGCATAGGTTACGACGTGATGCTAATGTTTCTCAAAATCAATTTGGATTCATGTCGGGTAGGGGTAGGTTTATTATAGAAATTATACATTTGTTAAGAGGGAGAGAGTAAGGAGGATAAACATATGATATTTATTAATTTAGAAGAAACATATGATAAAGTTTCAAGAGAAGTGCTCTAGAGACTGGAAAGTTCTAAAAAAAAGTTAATAATGCTTATATTTAAGTCATTAAGGATATGTATAGAGGAGATGCGACATGTGTTCAAACACACGATGATTTGACAAAGTATTTACCTATTTCAGTTGGATTACATCAAAGATCAACTTTGAGCTTATATATTTTTGCTTTAGTCATAGATGTTCTTACTAGACATTTGCATGAGGATGTACCATGGTTTATGCTTTTTGCTAATGATATTATTCTTGTTGATAAAACAATAGAGAGTTTAAGGAAACTTTGAATTATGGAGGTCAATTTTAGAGTTTAAAAGTTTTCGTTTGAGTAGATCTAAAATCGAATACATTGAGTGTAATTTTAGTAGTAATAGATCTAGTGGGAGGAATGTGACCTTGAGTGATCAAGTCATTAAAAAGAGTACATGATTTAGATAATCGGGTCAATTGCTCAAAGTGATGGTGAACGGAGTGGGGATATTATTAGTAGAGAATTCAAGTTGGATGGTCAAAGTGGAGAAATGCATCGGACATATTTTGTGATAGAAAAGTACCCATCAAACTTAAGGGAAAATCTTATAAGAATGTGGTGAGACTTGCAATGCTTTATGGCTCAAAATGTTGTGCATTAGAAAAGAAGCATAAAATTAAATGTTCTGGAGATGATGATGCATAGGTGAATGAGTTGCGTTACACTTAGAAATAAAATACAAAACGAGTATATACATGAAAAGGTTGGAGTAGTTCTAGTGGTAGATATGATTACAAAGAGTCGCCTTGAATGGTTTGGTCACATAAAGCATCAGCTTTCCAATGACCTGATTGGGAAAGTAGATGCATTAGATCCAACCTATGATAAAAAAGATAGAAGTAAACCTAAAAAGACTTAGTTAGAAAGTATTATAAATGATATTTTATTAGATTTAAATGAGAATTTGACTGTTGATAGAACACAATAGAAAAAAAAGATTTATGTAACCGACCCCACTTAGTGGGACAAAAACATAATATTGTTGTTGGCAATCAGATAAGGGTTGAGAGTTTCTAATGCAACTTAGTATGAAATACAAAAAAATTCACAATCGACAAGTTAAACGTTCATAATTTTAGCAAAAACTTGTCACAGTTAATGTAAGAACGATAAACATACTTTCTTATCAACAAAGGATTCTAATCAGCATTTAATGTTCAATAATTTTCTACATGTCATAGGGTACTATCAAGTCCTCAAATGACCCAATATAGCAAACACATTCTATGGCAATGAAATTAAAAATAGCATGTTTACATACATCCAAAAAGAATTCCAATATTATAAACAATTTTTCCTTCAAATTTTGCATTAAGAAATCACCGAAATAGAAAAATTCCTATAAAACAGGACAATGGTGATGTGGGGCTATATCAAGGAGATCACGAGACATACAGTAGCATAATGGTGTACTGAGCAAGGCACAATGGTGTAACGGGCAAGGCTGGACAATAACCCAATGGGTAAACAACCATAAGGCGACAACTACCACAAAAGTGAAAACAATTGGGGCAGTAAGAGAAACCAGTGGGCAAAATATAAACCGAGAATGGCAGGAGAGCATAGTGATGGGCAACAACAACAATAACAAGGACAGTAGTTGGAATACATCAACAGAAGCACATTAAAATTATTTCCAAACTTGAAACTTCTAAACTCCTTGTTTGTAGATTGAAATTCCATGGATTTAGAGGTGAAATCATGTAGTGATAAGTCAGACTTAATAGACTTTCAAACTACTTAAAGAAAATTTCTTGTTCATATAGGAACTATCATATTGCCATGTTTTAGATAGAATAACTAAAATAAAAATAAGATTTAATGATAAAACTCATCTAAATAATCACTTTTTACATTTTTGATGCAAGTATACCTTCAGATTTTTGTCAGTTGGTGCTATAAATGAAATTTAAACATCTTAACTCTAATAGTCCTAAGAAAATTGCACTTAAAATCATATTTCTCGTATCAATCTTTTATTCATTGAATTAAAATCACATAAATGTGTTTCTCATATTAATTTTAAAAAACATTTCAATTTGTAGAAAGCCTGATAATCCCACATATATATATATATATATATATATGGGGTATGCTTGCTTAAGCATATTGAAGCATCTGTGTTTGTGCGAACCATAATAAATATGGTCTATTAAGTGCCAATTGTTTTTCTTTGGGACATTCTTTTAAAAAATTTGAGATGTTTGATATGCATTACTTCAAGCAGTGTGGAATAAAGGAGAATAAGATGCTTTATTCTTAAATGCAAAATAAGTTGAAAAGTCTGACATATGCAACTAGGAACAAAAATCCATAAAAGAAAGAAATAAATACTGCAAGAATAAGTATTTATAGAAGAACATTGATTAGCCATGTTGAAAAAAGGAACAAAAATGAATTAGACAAATAATGCAATGCACAAGATGAGAAACTAAACTCGTCCATTTGTGGAATGACGGCATAACTTCAAATGCTGACTTTTTGAAAAGGATTAGAAAGCATTTGCAATGAAAGAAGCTCATGATAGAATGCAGATAAAAGAGATTGGGTGTTCTTGTAGAAAAGAGCTAGGAAAGTTTTAAAAGAATAATTGCCGCTTTGTTTGAATAGTGAATGAAATCACCCGGACAATTGAAAAAAAGATAAGAAAATAATATCATTATTATTTTATTGAGATGAAACTATCAACTAAGTCATATGCGACGAATGCAACAAACATGATAAAAATTATGTTAATATTTTTGCACAGCTTGAATGCATAAATCCATTGCACAAATAACAAGTGCATGTTTCCTATAACCAAAGAGTCTTATGAAAACACCTCAAAATTGGTTTCCATTCTAAACAACCCTCCATGGTATGCAAGATTGAAGCCCAAAACAATAAAAGTTCATGATGCACGTGCAGCACTAAGGAATATAAATTTAACAATTGAAAAGCCTCCATCAACAAGAATAATAATTCCATGCAGAGAACAAAAGGATTGCATACCGAATCATTAGCTCATAATAAATGCGTTTCAACTCTTGGAGCGAGGGTATATCACCAGGAGCCTCTTGAACCATATTATCTCCTTCCTTGGGCTTTTTCTTTTCTTTGGAAGGATCTACATCAAAAACTCGAGGACTAATTTTCCTTGATAAAATCTGTGCGCGCACATAATCCTCACGATCTAGGCATAATCGCACCTGCATTTTTTTTACAACAGTTATTTTAGAAAGAAAAAAAAGAAAGATATCAATGAAGTACTCTGTTCGAAGATGAAGTCTGTCATACTTGCTCAAGTATGAATGCTATTTTTTCAGTTTTCGCCATTGCTCCAAAAGTTTCCACCTGAAGAATCATATATTCAACAAATAAAAAACTAGAAAAGAAGATTAAGTAATTGGAATAAACTCTTCAAAGTACAACGATATTAAAAAAAACAATCATATCTTACTGCTATTTCTTGCATCAACTCTGCAGCTTCAGCAATGAGGCCTTGTTCCTCTTTTATCTTTGCAAGTTTCTTTATCAAACGTGCCCTCTCTATCTCAACATATATCTGCAAAGTGCAAAGAAACATTAACATAAATGATCAAACAATGTCATGCATAACTAAGTTAAATGGGGCATAATTAAGCTACATAAATATGATCAATAGACGCATCATATTAGGTGAACCTTTCCAGCTGAGACATTATTCAATGCCTTGATCAACTCCACGCGCGTATCAATATCAGGTGTATCATCAATATATTGCATTGCTTGTTGTACCATAGCAGTTACAGCCTGTAAGCCAAGTGCAAAAATAACATGAGCATAATAAACAAGCAATAAGCATCCTAAAAGATCATATCACATTAAGAAACACCACTATATTTGCCTGGTAATTTCATATTAATCATTGATCTAGAGAAATTGTCGATTTATGATGCATTTACTCTAACATCAAAGAACTTTTATCAATGAAGTCTTGCTCTTTATTTCATAATGTTGTGTTTTTGTTCTATGGAAGAATTTTGTCTCTACTCTCCGAAAGACACATGAGTTGCTCAACAAGTTTGTTCATTATGGTTGTGAAGCCGTGGAGGCGGTGTGTGGAATGTCGTAGGGACTGTGTGCTTACAATATAAATCAAATTCGTAATGCTTCAGTTTTCTTTGAAAAACAATGCATTATCAAACAAATTATTATTCTTATTGCACAAGTACAAATATAATTCGTGAGAAGCAGCGGCTACTACTAAGAGGAAACAACAAGAGGATGTGCCAGTTTGAGTCCTCGTGTGCAAATAAAATAACAAAAAGCACAAGGAAAAATCTAGCAGAGCGCTAAGACATTTTTATCAATCACAAACAACATAAAAATTGTTACAAAAGCACATCAAAAGAAAGTTTCTGGTAAATTCTAAGAATGGGATTGTTGCAATGCATCCTAAGAAGAGAATAAAACTTACATTCACCCTAAGACGCTTATAATATCAACTTCCTAAAAAGTAACAGAAAAAACTTGAATGCAAAAAACCTTCAATATCAACTTTTTCCAGGCTAAATAACTATTATGTTGGTGGTGACAATATGCCTAATTAACAAATTTCAAAAAACCCTGGTGGTTTGCTCAACAAAAGACATAATATCTTGTCAATGCCTCAAAAAGTGTAGGTCCCATAAAATAGCAACTCTTAAATATTGCAACCATTTCTTCAAGCATCACACAACACCTGTACTCTTAGTACTATTGGAGACTCACTTTACTAATAAGCAAGAGCTGATTGTAGCCACACTTGAAAGGGCATTGAGTAATTTGTAGTGCTTCATTTTTTTATTATGATGAAACCAGACATAAAACTTTTACTTAATCATAAAAAAGTGTTGTATGCCCTGCAATAAAACCAAATGGCACTTATGGGCATCAGAATTACTGGAATTAGCAAATAACAACATCAAAAATTTTGCATAAATTAACCAATACATTTCTACAAAGAAATATTGCAATTTATACTTTTAGGAAGAAACTTCAAAAAGAACAAATTTGATGCTTCCAATCTCAGAGAAGCTACTATCCTAAATTTACACCTCAAAAATATTTCTACTGACCATCTATTTTATTAGTTTTCTCAAGATAAAAGTCCAGCAATTTAGCATGAAAAACTAATCAAGAACAACTGATTCAGAGCAATTCAAACCCAGAGGCAAAACAAATTAAACAACAAGATATTTCAAAAGTTGCTACCTGCTTAAGCTGTCCCCTCCTCTTTGCGATGAGTACAATTTGATCATTGAGAGTCTTCCATGCTCGAGCCTTGTAGCACAGCTCTACGATCTCGATAACTGCCTTCTTTGTCCCGGCAACATCACCGGCCAGCCTCATCTGCTTCTCCACATTCAATAGAGCATCTACCTTGGCCTCCAAATTCTCTTCCTGCAAATTAACAAACAATTAGCACCCATTCCAAAAGAGACAAAAATCGCCAAACACAAACTCTCATCAGGAATCTTCAAGAATAATCACATCCTTGCTCCTCAAAAGGGCAGATCAACCCTAGCCCTAAATCCAACATGACTGAGCATGACGCGAATGACTGGCTATAAAAATCGACCATACTTTAAAGAAGACCCCAATTGACGGGAATTATCAGTTGATAGAACAACACCCAGAAATTGGAAATCGAAGAAGGCGAATGGAGCTTACCATCTTCTCGTGTGATATTGTCGCGGAGAAGGAGAAAACCTAGGTCACCGAGGATGCGATCTGGGAAGAGAAGGGACGCGGGTTACCACTTGAAGAACCGAAGCTTAGCCTACAAGAACGAGCACCTGCAGGCGACGGCGTCACTCTAATGCGACTCCGTGACGGGCACAATGTGCTCTTACATAAGAGGGCCTCGTTTTGGACGGCTTTTTTTATTGCTTTGGGAGTTTTAATTTATTGCTTTTCAAAAATAGAGTTTTAATTATTAAAAATTTATTTTTGAAAGCAATAAAAAAATCGTCCCAAAAGAATTATAAGTTTAGCTAATTCCAATCTTAAGCTTCTTTTGAGCAACTTTCTTATAATTGTTGAAGCAATTTTTTAATCTCAAAAAATTTTAAGCTTTACATATTAATGCTAAAAAATTACTTAAAAATAATAAAATAATCTCAAACAAAATTTTAATCAAGATTATATAATTTTATTCACTTTGCCTAAAAACATATCCATTTAGATCAAATAAAATTTTAATCTTATGCTAACAGGCTTCATTTAGGACGACTTTCTTTCTTCAGTACAAAAGCTGTCCTAAATGAAGCCTAAAATTTTGTAACTACAAAACTACATTAAGAAGCAGTAAGAAAGCAGTCCCAAATGAAGCCTTAATAAAAAAAAAGGAGATTTGAATTTTTATCCTTGAAATGCTAATGAATGAGGTTGTTTAAACAAATATATACCTTCAATTTTATTTTATTCAATATCTCTCAAATTACATTTTGAATCAAAATATCTTCAATGATAAAAAATTTCTTATATTTATGAATTGTTCAATAAAGTAATAAGTTCTTCAAAATTTATTCAAATTAAGTTGAATCCAAATTTTATATATCATCCAAAAATCTACTAATGAGGCAGGTTCAGTTTAGCATCATTTGAACTCCAAATATAACAAATTTAGACTTCATTTGGAGCATTCAATATTTTCTATTTATATTTTTAAAGTTTATTTTTCAACCACAATTTTAAATATTTTTTTTAATTAAAAGAATAATGTAAAAGCTGTCATCTAAACATATATTTTTTGTTCACTACTTTTCGAAACATAAAAACAGTCAAATAGCTCCCCCAAATAAAGCTTATAGTTAAACCGAACATCATAAAGAGACAACCCCAATGACCTCAACAAGTTCTAATTGTAGTTTGAATGAGCTCAAATCAAGCATTAATTAAAATTTTTGTAACATTAATAGAAGAAACAAATTATCTCCAATTTCAAGAGCTTACATTCAAAATGAGTGTCAAGAAGCAAGAAATCCTACAAGCCTAAGATCATCAAACTGTAAGCTAAGGCTCTTAACAGTTGAGAGAACGATTTATTCAGAAATGGATGAATATAGGTCATTATTTTCTTTTTTTTATTATTGATTGTTTTCCAAAACAAAATTGCCATCAGAAAGCTCCTCCAAATAAAGCCTTGCAGTTTAACTGAAAATCCCAACGAGACAACCCCAATGACATCAGCAATGATCAAATGAGAGTTTGAATGAGCTCAAATCAAACACTTAAAACACAGTTTTTTTTTTAACATTAATTGAAGAAACAAGTGATCTCCAATTGTCGCGAGCTTACATTCAAAATGATTGTCAAGATGCGAGAAATCTAACAAGCCTAAGATCATCAAACTTTGAGGTTATTGTGGCTCTTAACAGTTGGAATAAGCAAATGAATCGACATGGATCATTCTATTATGTTTCGAGACTTTGGCCAAAATAACAAAAATGTCACTCTCAAATAAATTAATCCTCATTCTTCATAAGAAACAGATCTTTAATGGAAACAGAAGAGAATATGGACACTTGAAGAATAACAGTTCATTTGAACAACTGTTAAAAAAAAGGTCACTTGAAGAACTATAGAGCATTGTTTGATATTTGACATCAAATATCAACTGTTATCACACATATGTTATCGATCAACTATCATCGCCTAACCATCAGTATCCATCCATTGTCATCTAACCACCATCACTCGATCATTATTATCTAACCATCATTATTTGATTATAATTGCCTAATTAATATTATATGTCACTATCGCCAAACTAATATTGTTTGATCAATGTCATCATCCTTCAACTATGTTTCTAGTATTCTCCACCGCATTCTCAAGATGGCAAGCTTATATTATAGATTTCGTAATCCCATCTTCTCCAATTAAGAGGAAAAGCATATTTTTGTAACATTGGTGGTATAGACGTTCATTTCAATTGGGTCAAACCTGATGATTTTTTCCTTTTTAGATTTTCCTCATAAAAAATTTGGTGACTCATATATTTTTTTATAATTGTGTGTGTAAGAAATTTTGTGTAAAGCTAGAAAGTAAAACTCTAACTCTACTACAACAATTTTTTTTAATAGAATAATTTGGCTTCATCTATGAAAAATATTCTCATTATTCTACAAATACTTCTTTAATGACGGACAACCAATCTCTCAATATAGGATAATATAATCTAGATTGTGGAGGTTACAATTTATCTTCATAAGATAGAAGAACAACAAGCTCAAAAATTTCAAGTCTTATAAGAATATATTCGACAATTAATTCCATCACAATATGATGAAATTTGTCACACTTGTGATTAGCACCACATCAGTGTTGTAAAGCCACCTAACCATCATGTTAAATTTCCTCTTAATGTTTCTCCTCTTACATAGCCAATTTCAGATCTTCATGATACAAGTAGTTCAAATCATTATTTTATGATGGCCAATCAGCTCATAATTCCCAAGCATTCATAATAGACTTGGTCCAACCTTTGCTCAACTACACCTATAGTGAAGTCTTGCAAGATGAGATATTATGCTTTCTTCTAAAAGAATTCCCTTGAGGTATATAAACAAATTACTCCTCACCAAACTTTTTAAAGTGTTTTCACATTTTATCGAGGTAAGTCTCCATCATTCCATCCTAGTGGAGTTCAAATTATATGGTATTGATCCCTATGATGGGATTTATGATTCATACGAGCATGTCGATCATAATAAGATTATCATGCACATTTAATAAGCTTGTGATGTACTTCCCTATTGAATCTTCTATGTTACTCCTAAGGGTCAAGCTTATACGTAATTTTATTAAATATTTGATAATAATATCCATAACTTTTTCCATCCTACTAGACTTTTCTTTAAACAATTTATTGTCAATTGTCAACTAAACAAAGATTCCTCCCATCTTTTGTAGATTTTCTAAAATAAAAAAATAATCCTTAAAAGAGTAATTGAAAAGATTTTGCTCCAAAAATCCAATATATTCTAGGAGTGTATCTTGAGCTATTGTGAGGTGTTTTTCCTTAGAGGTCTTCACCCTAAACCTTTTCACTCCTCATTAACGTGGGAGACTGTTTACTCTTATGATGATCTTATATGTATGGTGAAAACATGACTTACTACTAATGACATTATCAACACATATTGGAAATAGTTTGAGTGAACATCCAACAAGTAAATGAATAGTCAAGAAGGTACTACCTAAAAATTATAACAATGAAAACATGAATAACAAAGAAAGAGTTTTATCTAGCTCGGCCTTCTTAGTAACAACATCAATATAGATAATGAAAAGAGTATACCCCACTAAACACTTCTAATGCCAAAATAGTCATCCAAGATTAGGAGAATGTTAACTAACTTAATTTGTTGAGGACAAAAATTAAAAATCAAGAGGAGTATATTCATTCCCATTAAAGTAATGGACATGCCTTAAATCATGCTGATAATTGAAAGAAGAAATTATGATATTAATTCAATAAGATTATCTTTATTGTTTCATTTAGAATCATCATGTTCCAATAAGTATTAATCCTATTGGAGTCGACAATAATAAATATAATAGCAAGAAAATCATCAAATGGTTGGATACTGAGACCCGTAAGAAAAATATTTAAAAATTCTATTTTTATGATCAAATATGATATATAGAATAGTATATCATCTCAAAAGATAGAAACGATACTCAATAATTAATTCAAAGAAAAAAAATCAGAGAAATGATTATGTTCCCATAAACTTTTTCTTATATATTGTAGATAAGATAGTTTATTTTATTCAGGAGTATAGATTCCCCATAAAGAAAGCCTTTATGATTAATTACATTCCAATAGATGTGACATTACTAGCATACCCTTAGTTAAAATAATTATAAATGTTTTTATGATTTCAGAGTATAAAGAAGGATGTTCTTTTTAGAATTATATGTTAATGATTCAAATTTAAAATAGTCTTATTTAAGAGTCAATTGATGAAAAGTATGAAGCTTTATATCTTGAGAAGCTCAAAAGCAAATATCTAATTGGGCTTTAAATTTTTTAATTTAAATTTTGCTATTTGAGTTAATATTTTTATTAAAATTAGGTGCTTACATTTAATCAACACAAGATTGAGAAAATGTTTAAGAGTTGAGAACTTATGAAGTAGCAAACGAGGAAGTAACAGCCTCATATAATAATACGAAGGTGAGAAATACTATACAAGTAGTACCTCGAACCTATGTCTAAAGAAATTCAAAGGACTTACAAATTACAAACCCACTAAGGGTTAAAGTAGAAATAACTATAATAGACATACAACTCTGCCTAAAAAGGTTACTACCAAAACCTATATAATCAATTTAAAATCATAATATCAAAGTCTCTATGCAATGTAAGATAGGCTGTGCATTTTTTTTAAGAATTAGGATTTATAACTTAGCCTCTGAAGTTAAGTTGTGTGAGAATACTCTATTTATGATATGAATAATTTTGCATCTCGATGAAATTTGTTCCATCACTAGTGATGCTAGCTGTCGAAGCCATTAGGTATTGTCCATGTAAGTTTCATAGCCATTCTCAAAGCTTAGAGGAATCTAAGCAAATGGTTAAGGAGAGAATGACCACATGGTGTTGTTAGTCACCAAGATATGAGCCTCCTAAGATGGTGCTAATTGGCATACTAACTAGGCAATGCACATGGGGTGAAAGAGAGTCTAAGGAAGGTAATGGGATATCTTGGGTTGGGTTTGGTTAGCTTGAACTCAGTTTGGAAAGCCCATACGGCTCAATTTTCAAGGTTTGGTTCACTTGGGCTAACCCAAATGGGTTTGGTAACCTATGGAGCTAGTTTTTAGTCATACGAAGGTTTGTGCCATGTTTCAA